CATTAATAAATGAGTACAAACTGAACTGAGAAAATCTTTGTAAGATTGGTAGTCGAGGCTTAGGTATGTAGCTCAGTGGTAGTGTGCTTGGATAGCAGTACGAGGTCCTAGGTTCTAGCCCTGGCAATGCAGGGGGGGGGGGGAAAGATTGGTACATTGTATTAATATCAGTTTCCTGGTTGTAATATGTTACCACTGGGAGAAACTGGGCAATGTTCATGGAATCTCTCTACATTATTTTATATAACTGCATATGAATCTATAACTATCTCAATAAAATTCAATTGAAATATCTGATACCAGTTTAAGTTTATTAAAAACATTAAATTGGCTGTATGAAGTGGTACCTGCCTATAATCTCAGTGACTTGGGAGGCTGAGGCAGGAAGATCACAAGTTGGAGATCAGCCTCAGCAATTTAGTGAGGTCCTAAGCAACTTAGTGAGACCCTATTTCAAAATAAAAAAGGGCAGGAGATGTGGCTCAGTGGTTTAGCAGCCCAGGTTCAGTCCCTCCTCTAGTAAAAAAAAAATTAAAAAATTATATATATATATATATATATATATATATATATATATATATGTAAAATATACCATCACTACCTACTATCATTACCACTAACAAGACCTCATATTATTTTTCTATTCTGTTTTGAGAATAGATTACATATTTTTCACTAGGTTCTATTAGGGAATATAAAAATATACAAACCAGTAACTGTTTTCAACAGACTGAAAGAAATCTAATTTAAAAGGAACATCTGCAGTACTTTAATGAAGCAAACAATTTGTTTTATGTCCTAAACTGTCCTTCATAAATACTTTGCTCCAGTTCACTCATCTCTTATTTTAATTCTCAGATTACTTAGACTGATTTCAAGTCAGTTTTGAGTAATTACCTGCAATGAGTATAAAACACTGGGATCCAAATTCTAAAACCTGCAGATTGGTTGCTATTATAATTAAATTTGTTTTTCCATGAAAATATTTAAAATTTACTTACTATTTCTACTTCCTTCAGCATGACATACTTAACTCCATTTAAAGAAACATGAAGAAAATATAAATCAAAGCTGAAAAAATCCACTATCAGTTTTATCAATTCATCAAATTTAATTGAGAAAAGATTCCCCTATGTCAAGAATTCTTTGCAATGTACAACAGAATCAGAATAATGCTGGAAAAAATCAACTATGTACACATCTTTTTTGCTTGTGGTCACTATGATTCATGTGCTCTCACTTCATCTTCTCCCCTCTGGAACCCTTCTATTCACCAACCAACAGACTTACTGTATAACCTCATTCAATAATGTCACTGAGTTTTGGCAGTGAGCTGAAATAGAAATTGGAGCCCTAGACCAAGTAAATGCTGTGTATTTGGCTAAATCACTTGTGGTTGTGTTCTTCAGCACAGTTTCCAAGATAACCACCAGCTCCACTTGGCAACTAGACTCTCCGACAGTTCAGACTCCAATTGTAAATTTGGCTTGGGAGATATCTTCCTGCTGCTGTCTTCAGTGCCAATGCTATCCCTAAGAACTACTATGCAGCCAGGCATGGTATCACACAGGAGGATCTCAAGTTCAAGGCTAGCTAGCCTCAGCAACTTCACGAAACTGTCTCCAAAAATAAAAAGGGCTAGGGATTTAGTTCAGTGGCAAATCACCCCTGGGTTCAATATTATTACTTGCTCTCAGCCCTCAAAGGAACTACTTTGCAATGGTGCCATAATTATTAAGAAAGTGTTATTTTGATGAAACAATACTGCAGCTGGTCCAAAGTTTTTGCATGTCCCTATGTTAGGAAACACAGATGTTATAACAGTTTACCTGGTTATTTACAAAACTAAGATTCCCTTCAGCAATTTGAGATAGCTGGGAAAGATTATAAAATTCTATTAAAACAAAACCAGTAGAATTTGTATTAGCAACAAATACAGCATAAAAACAAATACGGCAAATCTAATATTTTCTAAATATCAGACATTCTAAAATATTCACATTCTAGCGAGACATGGTGGCACATGCCTGTAATCCCATCTGCTGGGGAAGCTGAGACAGGAGAATCATGAGTTCAAAGTTAGCCTCAGCAAAAGCAAGGCACTAAGCAACTCAGTAAGACCTTATTTCCAAATAAAATATAAAATAGGGCTAGGGATGTCGCTCAGTGGTTGAGTGCCCCTGAGTTCAATCCCCAGTATGTGTGTGTGTGTGTGTGTGTGTACACATACATATTAATTTTTTTCATTCTACAATGTCATACATCCACAACTTTCAAAGACGCTTTCTTTCAAGGTATTTTTTTTTTCATTTTTTCTTTATACTACTAGGTATTCAACCCAGTAATCTACCACTAAGCTACATCCCTGTCCCCTTTTATTTTTAATTTTGAGGCAGGGCTTCACTAAATTGCTAAAGCTGGCTTGGAACTTGCTATCCTCCTGCCTTAGTCTATTGAGGCACTAAAATTATAGGTGAGTGCCAACACCCTGGGCTATTTCAAGGTAATTTGATAAGAATTTACTAACTTGGACTAGGGCAGGATGGAAAACAGAGTTTCTGCTAGGTGTGCCTGTGAATCATAAGAAGGACGTCTTAATAAAGTCAGCAAATAAGGAAATACATTTCAATAGTGACACTTGGCTTACAATACTGTGTGTGGGTGGAGTCCTGGAGGAATTAATTGCCAGAGAAATTCTAACTTCAACAAGTGAAACCAAAACAGAGTCCAGTTTTTGTCACCTAATACAAATCTAATGCCCAATAAGGAGTTTGGAGGTGTGTCATAACAAGTCCAGCAGGTGCATTTCACTTGTTCTGGAAGTAATGTTGACCTGTGGATACCTAAGACCATATGCCACTGCATCAAAACCATATCAAACCCTCTGGTTCCTGGCATAGACCAAAACAATAGCAGATATAATGAAAGCCTTAAAAAGAGATCAGTGGGCAGGGGATACAGCTCAGTTGGTAGAGTGTTTGCCTCATATGCACAAAGTTCTGGGTTCAATCCCCATCACAGAGGGGGGGGGGGAGGGAGAGAGACAAAGAGAGATAGAGAGAGATAGAGATAGATATTAGCAAATATATGAATTTAAAGAAAGTAACTTCCTTCATTCCAAATTAATTTTGCATTAATGATTAGTTCAATAAGAAAATAAGTGAAACAATACTGTAATTTTATAAATGCTGTTTATCTTGTTATTGTCATTATCTCTCCTAAATTTAACAAACCAAGAATGACCTATGGAATTTTTTAAGCACCCAAGTGGTATCACGTATGATAAATGAAGAGCTGAGATTATGTCTTTTATTGTAAATTATTTGAAATTGTTACTTTTATTCAGATTGGGAAATAATATATATAGCTGTTCCTCATACTCATTGAAACCCCTTCAGTAATATTACCAGCAACCATTTTCAGTATAAAAGTAGGATGTATAAAGTAACAAGAGACTAAGTTTAATAATAGTAAAGAACTGCAATTGTCACAATCAAAATTATTAATCAATGAGAGTATTCTAATTTATTGATTTGAGTGGGAAACACTATATCTATTATGAGTTAAAAAGCTTGAAAACTAAGTATCAAAATATTTTAAAAGTTCTCCACAAAAAGTAGTTAGATACTAGTCTGTTAGCAAAACAAATTATTTCTTTTTAATTCTGAATTGCTGAAATAATTAACCACAGTTTTCTCAACAAACAGTAAACATTTAAGCTAAAATTCCTCAGTGTTTTCTTTATTGACTTAGGGCAAATAAGAACTAACCAATGAACTGCTTCTACGCCACAGAGATGAGTAATGCTTCTCCCTTGTAATCATATGAAACAACCTCTAGTATGAATGATTAAAGCAAACTTAGCCACTTTTTAAAGATCTGAATAGAAACACTTACAAACTGAACTACTAAGGATAAGTAGTTTTGGAAATCTGATCTACACAGCAATGTCCATTATTATGCTTTTCCTTCTATCCACCAAATGTCAATTTAATAAATGCCTCCTGAACTTAAGTTTAGCTCTGCAATGCTTCATTAATGCTTCTCTGCTTAATAACATTTTTTTAAAAAAAATCAATATTTTGTTGAAATTTATATTCTATTCCAAATCTATTGTAAAACACACATGCAAACATGTAAAAGAATATAACTTCCCTTTAGTATTTCAACTTTCCATTAAAATGCAAATGTAATGATTTCATTAGCCAGGCAACAATACCCACAGTCTTAAACAAAACCAAACCACATCAATATCTTTTTCTCCTAACATATAACATTATTCCTACGTTGGATCATTTGTTAATGACTATTTTTGGATTTGGACTTTGCCAGTATAATCCCTAACTGGAGTGGGAAAAGTACAATGTATGATTTGAGATTTAAATTTATGTATGTATTCTATTCCCTAGACAGGCAAACACAGAAACATCTCACTAAAATTTAAACAATCAATTTGAATATAACCCTTGCTTCAAATTCTAAACATTAGATGAGGGAGGGAAATCACCTAATGCATTAAAAGTATATCATCATGTCAATAACCAGCAAATAACACGTATTTCTTATTCGACCTTCCCAGGAGTCTATTCAGGCCACACTTTGTCATAGATAGAAAACTCTCTCCTTAGAAACCCGTTAGCTCCATAACATTGGGCAAGCAGTCCCAGAGAAAAGACTCAGCAAGATGTGAGTGAGGAGTGCGTGTGAAGGAGACAGAAGAGAGGGAAGAGGAGAGAGGGGAGAGGGAAGAGAGAGGGACACCCAGACCGCATAGAGAAAGGCAGAAAGATAAAGACCAAAGAAAAGCGAGAAACCAAGAGAGAAAAATTGGATGGGACTGTTACAAATCTGCTTTCCACTCCTCTGCTGGGATTGGGTTTCATTTCTTTAGGCGCCCCTGACCTTGCAGTCTACCAACTCTCAACGCTTCGCCCCCCCCCCCCCCCCGCCCGGCCCCCTCCCCGGGCCTGCGCCTGCCTTTGTGTCTGCCTGTCACTTACCAGGGAACCGAAGGAAGCTGATTCGGGAGAAGCACAAAGCCAGGACACAGATTTGCCCACAAATTCTCTCACACACATTTCCCAGACTGGAAGGCGCTGCCCACGCAGAGCTTCTGGACCTTGAGAAAAGTGGGTTCTGGTCTTGTTTGGGGAACCAGAGAAACTATTCTTTCCTCTTTGACTCAGCGCCACTAACAAAACGCGCGGACTTAAGAAAAAACAAAACTCCACTCAGTGTATTCCAATTCCACTCCCGGTGACATTCGCTTAGTGCACTTCCCAGGAGGGGGACGAGGGGGTAGGGAGCAGCAGACACAAACCAAAGACCCAGACCCAAACCCTACAGCAGATAAAAGGGTCCAAAAACACCCCGTCCGTGTTTCTCCCCAGGGTGGTTTAGGATAAACCAGAGACTCCTTTGACTTCCCCGAAAGAAATAGGGGAAGAGGATTAAAGGGAAAAGTAGTGCCCCCCAAAGCTGAACTATTTTAAAAAGGAAAGCAAAGAAAGAAAAATCACTTTCCTGAGGATAAAAGGCCGGGAAACCGGCTGGTCGGTGTACAAAGGTAAGTTTTCTGGAGAAGGAGGGATCGAGCATGAGTAGGAGAGAGAAGAGACACAGAACTACAGGTTTAAAGGGGTGGGGGGGAATTAAAACTATATTTGTCAGCCATGTTGAAGAAGCTCCAGTAATTTGTGAAGCTTCCCTCTTCCCTCTTGGTATTTGTGGGTGACACTACCAGGTTTGCTCCCCAGTCCCTGGAAGCCCAAGAGAAAGCGAGGGAGAGAGGAAAAGGAGAGTTTCGCGGCAAAAGAGAAGCGCTCTGACCTCGTTCTCGTCCCTCAGCCTTGCAGCAATCCAGCAGTTGCAGTCAGGTCTCCTTTCTAACAAATCCTAAAGGGCAGCCATCTTGCTTCCTTCTGCTTCTCTACGAAAGCAGCCTAGCCCCCGCATCAATATTCATAAGGCAGTTTGACGTCTGTTCTCATCACTCGGCGGGGCCGGCGTCTCGGGGCGGCCGCGCCGAGGGGGCGGACGTGACTCGCATGCGAGCCGGGGCTGGGCGCGCGGCGCTGGCGAGGAGGCGGCGGTGGCCGCCAGAGCTCTCGCCGCTGCTGCCGCTGCCTCCGGCTCTCCTCCGCACAAGCCTCCTCCTCTCCTCCTCCTCCTCCTCCTCCTCCTCCTCCGGTGCCGGCTCTCCTCCTCCGCCCGGATCTCCACCAGCTCCGCCCCGGCCTCTGCCGCTGCCCTGGAGCCCTCAGCTCCAGCTCCCAGGGAGTCAGTCCCCCGCCCAAGGCGTCCCGCAGAAAAGCTCGGGGGCTGTACAATGGGGGTGCGCAGCCCAGACCAGAGCTGCCTTCACTCGGTGCTAGAAGAAGGGGGGAGCCGTGCGCCCGGATGAGCGAGGGGTGGGGGCGGGGAGGGGGGGACCAGGGCAGAGTGCAGGGGAGGGTCCAGCCCCCCCGGGACCCAGAACCCTTGGCTAGGCCTCCACCTGGGTCTTCTGCCCTAGTGGACTCCCTACCCTGCTCCCCACTCTTGGCACTGTGTCTACTCCCAGGAGAAGGCTCAGGGAGGACTCAAGGGAGAGGTGGCCACAGCGCATGGACGTGCATGTAAGATCGCAAATTTCCTGAAACTTTGTTGGTCCCAAGCTCCATCACCCCATTAGAAGTATCCGCGCCCACGCGCACCCCATAGGTCCTGCTCCTCACCTCCTTGCAGGTATCCCAGTACACATCCCTGATGGACCCCTTCCTCCACCACACCCACTGGCACCTTTCTCACACACACCCTGGTGCCATCTACCTTCTCCTCCCAAGCCTGCACCCCATCGCCTTTTAGGTTCACTTGCTTCTACGGTGACATCCTCCCTTCCTTGTCGCCTTAATCTTGTTCAGCAGAAACACTCCTCATTTTCACCAAGGGCATGCCCTTAGTGCTTTAGGGGCCTGTATTTTTAAAGACTTGACAAATTAGGAAATTGACCGAGTCCTGTTCCTCCCCGCCCCGGCCCACCTTCTGTTTACTTTCGCCACGTGGGCTACGAAGGGGAGGGAGTCTCAGGGATCCAAGCCGAGTTTCTCACCAGTAACCCTCTACTTCTCGCTAGTAAGAAATAACCGTGCACTTTCAGATGCTACAGTTGCCTCCGTTAAGTTCCTCTATTTTGAGGAAATTTCCACTTGTACAATTAATGAAGAAACTGTTCCATAAACACTTAAATTCCGAATGACCAAGGTTCGATTTCCCCTGACATTTGGTACTCTGTAAGAACGCCCTTCCACTGACAGTTTTTCTTTTCTATTTTTTCTTTTCTATTGCTGAGTAGTTTTACTTCTCATTTTAATGCTCTTTTTCTAACCATTAGCTTTTTTTTTTTTTTTTAAGACTAGATAAAGAACAAAGCTTGCATGAATCATATCAGATAGTAGTTTTTGGAAAATGCCCTTTCAAGTAGTTTTCATATTAGTGACATTTACATTTTAAATAGGTAATTTGAATACATCTTTTAGGTGATCAGTTGTAATTACAATAACCTTAAATCAGCACTAATTCCATTGTGTGTAGCACACTTGTTTTTGGTTTGGTTTGGTTTTTTTTTTTTTTTTTTGGTCTGTAACTTAACTCTAAGACCACCCCACCACACTCCCACTCCTGTCTGGGGATGGAACCCAGGGCCTAACATATTCTAATAGGCAACATTTCTACCAATGAGCCATAGCCACAGCCACAGTAATTTCTTCAGAAGTGAGGCCTTTATCCATGTTGTAGTATGCACCTGTAGTACCAGCTACTCTCAAGGTTGAAATAGGTGGGTGGCTTGAGGCCAGGGGTTCTGGACTAGCCTGGGCAACAAAGCGGGATATCCAACCTCAGGCATACAAAATCTATGCTGCATCTTGAAAGAAAGAAGGGAAGGAAAGGGTGGGGCGGGGAGCAGGGCCTTACCCCAATTTTTATGAAATCAGTATATTTCCTCCTTGTAAAGTATTTTAAAAGGGTCTGGGTGTGGTGGCAAATGCCTGTAATCCCAGTGCCTCGGGAGGCTGAGACATGAGAATGGCAAGTTCAAAGCCAAATTCAGCAAACGTGAAGCACTAAGCAACTCAGTGAGACCCTGTCCATAAATTGTCTTTAAATACAAAATAGGGCTGGGATGTGGCTCAGTGGTTGAGTGCCCCTGAGTTCAATACCCAATACCAAAAAAAAAAAAAGTATTTAAAAAGGGAACTCTTTCTACATGTCACATTGTTACTAAGAATTCTTAAAGTGTGTCCTAATGAAACATTGTGTAGTACTTTTTGAAACAATTGAATTGCTGCTTTTGCGAGGCTAAGATTTTTTTAAAGTGTTTATTTTCTAAGCATTTCATACTAATTTAAATTTTCAGCTGTTAACTAATGTGTCATTGAGGTCTTGACAATTGTTCATGCACTTTAAATCCTAAAATATTTGAAGGTTTTCTTGTAATTTGTATTTTCAAATCCAGGAAGAGCAGTTTCCCAAGACCAAGACATAGGTAGTGCACAGTATTGCAGAAATGTTGAAGGCATGGACTTTGGAGTTGGACAGACTGAGTGAATACTGTCTCCATTTCTTGCCCACTGTGTGACTTTGACCCTGCTACTTAACTCTGTGCCAGTTTCTTCATCCATTTAACAGTTTGCAAAACAATGGGTAGTTGTGAGGACTAAGATACCAGGTAAGTGCTCAGGTAGATGTTAACTATTACCAGTAGCAAACCATGTGCATCCAGGTGTTTTCTTGACTGACTATAGGAATATATAAGTAATTATGCCTTTTTTTTTTTTTTTTTTTTGGTACCAGGTATTGAACTCAAGGGCACTAAACCTCTACGCCACACCCTCAGCCCTATTTTGTATTTTATTTAGAGACAATTTAGAGACAGGGTCTCATTGAGTTGCTTAGTGTCTTGCTTTTGCAGAGACTGGCTTTGCACTCGTGATCCTCATGTCTCAGCCTCCTGAACCACTGAGATTATACACCCAGCTATGCCTATGCTTAATATGTTTAATAAAGTATGAAAAATATATACATGTATTTGATATAAGTATCTTATGTTCCTTTATTTGTATTATAATTAGGAAAAGAATAATTGAGGTCATCTCATTTTTTCCCCCTTTTTGCAGTTGAAGAGATTGAATCTAGGAGTGCTTTTCTACTGAACTCCATTCCCAACCCTTTTTATTTTTCATTTGGAGACAGGATCTCACTTAAGTTGTCTAGGTTGGCCTCTACCTTGCAATCCTCCTGCCTTAGATTCCCGAGTTGCTAGGATTACAAGCATATGCCACCATGCCCAGCTTCATTTTATCTTTTAAAATCTCTATTTGGCTGGGCACATTGGTGCAGTCCTGTAATCTCGGCAATTTGGGAGGCTGAGGCAGGAGATTTGCAAGTTTGAGTCTAACCTGGGCAATATAGTGAGACCCTGTCTCAAAATAAAATTAAAATAGTGGCTGGGGATGCACCCTAGTAGTAGAGCACCCCAGGACTCACTCCCTAGTAACATAAAAATAATAAAATAAAGTATCAGTTGAAACAGGTGGTTTTTGTCTATCTGGAGTCATATTTGGCTGGCAGTTGGTTTTGTAAGAGGCTCTGAACATTTTCTTGCCAACTTCTTTCTCTGAAACCCCACCCTACCCTTAACCACCATGTCTTTTATTAATTTAAAAGGAAGTAGATTACTGCTGTTGGACACTGGGGCTTCAACAGCAAAAGTAAAATTTTGAAGATCTTTACATTAAAATATTTGCCATGTTTTGTTAATTAAAAACAACAACAAAAGAACTTATTTCTTAGTTGCTGTTTCCAGGAAAGAAGGGATATAGTGTGAATAATCAGGTTTTTACTGGACATTAATGCACATTTGTAGGAGTAATTCAGAGCCAGCTTTTATCAATTGTATGCATACTTGAGATTCCTTCTCCTTTAGGTGTGAATAATGTATTTTAAAAACATATTTACAGTCAATTGTCGAATTCCTTGCCATTTTTTTTAACCTAGAAATAGCAACACTGTTTCCACACAGAGAAATTCTTGCTTCCTTTACAGAGAAAAAAGACTAATAGAACAAACTCCATGACGTACTATTCTGTGTAAGAAAACTGACTTGATTGGCCTGGGCATCTGCTGTCTAATTCAGTTGCTCAGTCACCAGGCCTCTTAGGGTAGAAGCAACTTGGTGTCTGTTGCTGTCCATTAAAGAGCAGACAGCAGCAGTTTGCTTTGCAATGCCCCCTCCCTTTTGCATTGTAACAACAACAAAAAAAAAAAAAAAAAAAAAAAAAAAAAAAAAAACAGGTACATTCTTAATTTCCTCCCAGTTGCAGAATAGAAAATTTTCTTTAAGGACTTGGTTTTCTTTTTAATAGAAAAAAAAAAAAAAGAGAAAAGCAATATTGCGATACATAGTGCTTTGAAAAAAAATATGGTAGTTTAACAGAAACATTAAATCATGGCCTGTTGTTTCTCATCTCTAAAAACATATTTCTGAAGTAAAACAGGATAAAGATTCTTTGTATGGTTAAAAGGCAATTGACCTTCAAAAAGTATTGCATTTGTTGCTGTGAAGGGGCCGTCTTGATTCTTTAGTTTGTGGTATTACTGCACAACATACTGAGGTATGCATTTAACATAGAATGCTAATTTAAACAAAGCTTCAATAGATGAAACATATGTAACTCTAACTTATTTGTATAAATTATTATTATTATTAATAAGAAGTATTGTTGCCTAAAGTCAGGTATCATAATATCATGAGAGCCTTGATAGTATCTCTTTTC